TAAGACATCCCTCGGATCTTAGAGATCTTGGCGTGAGAGTCTCTAAGCCTTAAGCGTTCGAAATCCTAGAAGGGATGGTGATGAATAATAAGAAAACACAAAACTTTAACCTTTTTGACCCTTTCTAATCGCCCCAACCCCGGAACCCAATAAGACTACTCGCGATTCGTAAAGAAAACCGATGAAAGCATAAAAGAGGATCTATTAAGCATGATTAAAAAAGATTAAAGCAAGATATTCAATATTCAAAACGTAAAAAAGCAAGAAAAGCTTCAAAAGTCTACAATGGCGATTCGCCTAAAAATGAGAGAGATGAAAAAGGTAGAAGACAGAATCGGGATAATAAAAGGGATCGTTGCCTTTTGCCAAAAATGGTCAAACCGCAAATGGTCCCCCCCTTCGCTACGGTCAAAAACCAGCTGGACGGGATAAGGTTGGTCTGGGATCGAGTACGAATCTCGATCTGGCACTCGATCTTGTCTTGGATCGGGTGGCTCTTAGTCGATCTCTGAGTCGATCTTGTGCTGATCGGGTTGGAAGCTCGATCCGGTCTTCAATCTGCATGGCGTCATTTACGTCCGTACTTCAGATCGATCTCCACACTCGATCTTGATCTCGATCCATCTGCTTGCATCGACTTGATTACTCGATCTTCTGGTCGATCTCGTCTGGATCGACCTGCCTTGCTCGATCTACTACTCGATCTTGGGTCCCAAGCATGCAATCCTGATCTCTCCAAGTCTCCACGAACTTCTTCACGAGCCTTAGCACGTCCACGAATCTCCATAGCTCCAAAGTAGCCGAAAACAACCTGAATGCAATGCAAAATGCAAGAAACATACAAATGCTGGTGCAAAAGTACTCTAGGACCTAAAGTGATGCAAACTAGCTTAATACGCGAGGTAAATATATGAGAAACTAACTTATATGCATGCAAAATACATGAAATATGCAGCAATATCACCTATCGGTCAGAGAGGTGACCGATAGAAGTGCACCGTTTATATTTCGGTCACCCTATCGGTCATCTTCTAGACTGATAGGATCCCTATCGGTCATAACTGACCGATAGGAACCCAGTCCGAACCTGTCTTTTATTACACTTTTGCCATTACTTTAGGGCTTCCTTCTTTTATGTATAAATACCCATTTTCTGGGATTTTCGACAAGTCATGTCATAACACAGTTCTTGAGTTATTTTTCTGAGTTTGTAAGACAAATTTCTTGCTTTATTTAATATAAGTTTATATTTGCCATTAATCTTTCTCTAATCTCTCTTTTAATCATGATTAACATATTTTCCTCTTGTGATTTTGTGTTAAACATGAGTATTAGTGAGTAGTTTGCTTAGGGTTCTTAGATGTAGTAGATTAAGAGGATTTAGGGATTGATTAAGATTTGTTTAGTGTTTAATTACATGGGTTCCTCTCTATTAATCTGTTTTTAAGCTAGATTTGTCTTGATCACACTTATCTAGGATTTGAGTTTTCTCTTATGCCCACCAAGTGTTTGATGAAATGCTGATCTTGTTTGATAGAGGATTTGCTGGCCTTGGCTCAAGAGATTGACTGTTTGAGGAGCATTTTGACATGAATAGAGTTGATTGTTATTGCTTGTTAAATGTTTTAGCACTAATGAGAATTAGTTCTTGTTAAGGTGTTTAGCAAAGGGCTATTTTACAATAGATTGGACTTAGCTTGCTTGTTTGTGAACTCTATGTCTAGGAACTATCATTGCTAGCTTGTTTGCTTGATCAATGCTGTTTAAAACAACCTTAGTTAGTCTCTGAATTCCCCAAAGTCAATAAGCACATCTAGGAACTTGCTTTCTCTTTTATTGAATTTTGAATTTGCTTAGTACTCTGTTTATTTGCCCTGATTTACTTCTTGGATCATTCATAAACTGTCTCTTTGGTGATTGATCATTTTAGGTTGCTAGTTTAGTTGCTTAGGCAACAAAAACCTTCTTTGCTTGCTTGACTTAAGGATTTCTGCTCACAACTCTTTTTCTTACAACAAAACCCTTTTGGATTGACATAAAACCCTATGCTATACTACAACTGATTCATATACTGGGGTGATTGAGAAATAGTGAAATCCAAGATAAGCATTCTCTATCGAGAGAGAGCTTCAACCCCACTCTCTCAATGGAACATTTAACCTTAAGCTCCACCTTTACCAAATATCAGACGGATATCACGATCTTCGGACGGAACATCTAAACTATTAACCACCACCACCTACTCGCCCTCCCGATTATATATTTCCGGTAGGATGTAATGTCACTTGGGCGTCAGAGAACCTTCAAGAGAGAAACCCCTTTCCAGTCTCCCGAAATCCTGGCTTTTCCGTTAAGACCGTTTACAGGACTCCGTCAGTTTCTCACCCCAGGCCCTTGTACCGCTCATCCTTCAGAGGACGAATCCAAGAGACTTGGCTCATAACCCAAACAAACACACACCCTCTATAAGTAACCTGTAATTTGCTCCCGAACAATGAATCTATTTTTTTTTTTGTTATAGCAATTGTATCATTGGAAGCTGGACAGCAACCAGCAGGTCAAAGACGAATACGAGGCGAAAGAAAAAACGGACCATTCAGGTGGGACAACAGAAGGGTAGGTGGGACAGTAGATGAGTAAGTGGAAGAAAATAGGCGATAAGGCGATGCCAAATTGCCTTGACCCACTTGTTTGGGATGGGTTTATTAGATGTTGATTGCATCTTGCGAGCGAAGCACAGTTGCAATGCCCGCAATAACAATACAATAATCCTGATTAATTTGGACCTCGTAAGCATTGTTCTGTACATACGTCGTTCAAAACCAGAGCCCAAGTTATAGTAAAATTTTTCTCTCTTAATTATCTTTTTTAAAAAATATTATTCATTTGCTTAAAATGATTGGATATGCTAAACGAACTAGATCGACAACTCCAGATTTGCTAGTCGTATTTGAGGAGACAAAACAAAAGTCAGATAGATATTTTGTAAATGAATGCTCGGAGAAACTCTACTAGGATGTCACTACAAATATGCAGCAAGGAATCTTGATGATCCAAAAAGCACTACATCTTGCAAACTTCCTACGATAGAGAAAAACAAGATTGATCTTGAAGTAAATATGAAGGAAAAGAATTTATGGAGTTAAACTACTATTCTCAATATCTCTCTACACTTGCACTTGTAGTATAGAGAGGTTATCAATTCAATCCAAAGACTAATGACAATCAAGATGCAGAAAACTTGCTAGCTAGGCCAAATAAAGAGAAGCAAGTGAACTCTAACAACCTAAGATGAACAAGAAGAAAATCTAAAAACCTAAAGATGAACAAGAAGAAAGCAAAACACAAAAAGGCAAGGTTCAAGACTAAAGTGATAACAAAGTTAATCATGCTTATGGTTTTGGGATCAAATCAAATTAAGAACAATTCAACTCTAGATAAGGACATCTAACACAAGACGAGCTACTTTGTTCATTTGCATGTCAAACCCATGGTGTGTGCTGTATTTACCAACAAACAAGCAAGAAGCACAGAGTCCATAAAATCTAACAAGTTCTCATACCTCCACTTTTAGTGGCTTGTGTGATTACTTATCACTTGCTGCAATATATTTGACAACTACTCACTGATTAGGCTTATTGCATTTATCTATGTGCAACTTTCCACCAATGGATGATGCAAAGACTCATGACATTCCAAACATCTATTTCAAGACTTAAACCACTAAGAAATTTCATCTAGCACATGGAGTGCAGGATAAGTCGCCCAGGGTTATTATCTACTCCAAAGAGGTACTAAGCATTAAAGATCAATTCAGCAAGAAGAGGAATGGGATCTAGCAACCTAACACATTACACATCTAAAAGAAACACTTTTGCATCATAAAAGAGCAAGAACCTCTAAAATAAATCAAACCCTAAAAGCTAAATTCGAAATGGACAAAGAAAGATAAACAAGAAAGAAAATACTAAAAGATTAGAGAAGAAGAAAGCATAAACAAATATATAGAAGTGATCCAATCTCATCCCATAAAAAGGATTTGTTTTTGTTCTTTGAAAAACCAAAGCAAAGCTTTGGAGAAGAAAAAGGATAAAGAAAATAAGATCTAGGGTTAGCTATTTATAGGTAACATCCCCAAAATAGTCTCAGAAAGCAGAAAAAAAAAATTTTAATATGGTCAAAGATGGTTCTCGGATTAAAGCATGTCGACAGAAGGAAGGAGGTGATGTCCGATGTGGTGCTCGATACAAACTCCTAGTTGCGGACAGTGACGCTGAAACCGCCATATCTTTTGGTGACCTGTGTGATTACTTATCACTTACTGCAATATATCAGATAACTACTCACTGGTTATGCTTATTGCAGTTATGTAAGGGCAACTTTCCACCAATGGATTATGCTAAGACTCATTAGACTTACGTGAAGTCAACATCTTTTCGACGGACATCAAAAATCAATACAATAACCTTATATTCAATCTGCAGATATTGTGTAGACTTTCTTAAAGTCTGCGTGTGTTTTGTGCTGATATGAACTTTATTCGTAGACTTGCATAAAATTTGCTAGATAGAATTTTCAAGTCTGCTAAGTGTTTGTAAACTAATTCTTAGTCTGCTTGATTATATATTGAAGTCTGCAAAAAAAACTTGTATACTTCATGAAAGTCTGCCAAATGTCCGTAGACAAAGTAGAAATCTGCGAGATTGAATTTGTTGTCTACCAAAATCTCGTTGACATCCTATTGAAATTCAGTCTACTGACTAATTATAAGTTTTCCGACTAATTATAAGTCTGTCAAATTGAAGTTAACAATACCGACTGATTATAAGTCTGCTGATTGAAGTAACGTCTGCCGAGTGATTATAAATCTGTCAATGATTACAAGTCTGCTGACTAATTATAAGTCATAAAATGGTAAAGATAGTATGATTGATGTCTGATTTGTTTATGTATGTTTTTTATTTCTCGCACGAACTTGGTATAATTGAAAAAAAAAAGGCACAGTTTTTGGAGCTAATGAATATGAAGAAGATAGTGGTACTATTGAAAATGGTGGTGAAGAACCAGAAAAAGTGGTACTATTGAAAGAGGTGATGAAGATGAAGGAAAAAGTGGAACGATTGATGGGTTTGGTGAAGACGAGGCACATAGTGGTACATTATATCGATCTGGTGAAGATGAGATCAGTAGTGGTACATATAAAGAATGTGGTGAAGATGAGACACATAGTTCTTCCTCTGAAGAAGTTGATGAAGATGGAAAAAGCTGTGGTTCTATTGATGGTAGTTATGTATCTGCTTCTGGTATATCTTTTCATGGGAATATTCAAAACCATATGGTTGGTGACTTAGAAGGCAACAAAATATTTTGCAGATCTTGGAGCTTATTAGAGTAGGGAAATATAGAGTATCAAGGAGGACTTACAACGTAAGTTACATATGATTACAATTTTTTAAAAAATTTTATTATACAACTTACAAGTCCACAAAATTTTTGTTGGTACTTAAATTTTTTGTCCCTGGTTATTCTTGGAAAATCCGTACATCGCCAATTAAAGCATCGCTAGAGTTTAAAATGCGAAAATATATGAATATTCATACATGTGCTGTCACAGAGAGGTGTTCTCATCATCGACAAGCTACCTTAATATGTATTGGAGAGCTGTATTTGGAAAATTTTGGGAAAGTTGATTGAGGAATTAGACCTATACACATCATGGACGTCACGAAGGCTATGTATGGTATCGATATTGATTATTGAAAATCGTACAAAACATTAGTGCATGCACGTGAGCTTGAACGAGGTACATGGGAAAGTGGGTATGAGGATTTGCCTTTGTATCTACTTAAGATGGAGGCAGCGAATCCATGTACAATTACTAAACTTAAATGTGATGAGCAAGATAGGTTTAGGTAATTGTCCATTGCATTTGGTGCATGTATAAATGATTTTCTGTTTATAAGAAAAGTGGTTGTGGTAGATGGGGCTCATTTGAAAGGAATGTTGTTGAATCGGACAATCACTACTAAGGATTTGATTAACAGTTGTGGGTTTTGGAGAATAAGATATTTTATTAATAGCGATAAAGCGAAGCGATTACAAATATTGGTATAACCGAGATGGTATGCTAAAGTTTAAAGAAGGTGTCTGCGAAGTAAACTAGAAAGCGTTGGAGTCTCTGGTTTTAGCTATGCTGCTCTCTAGATTGTATGAGTTCCTTTCTTCAGCTTCGGGGTCTTCTTATTTATAGGGATAGGAGGTCGGTTGTTCTGAACTCCTTTTCTTTTTCCCTTTGTTGAATATTTTCATATTTGCGATATGGAAATATCCCTTATTCTCCGAAGAATATGGAAATTCTACTTTATCTTTCGAGTTAATCTGATGCTTCCGGACTTTGAAGGTTATCTTTAGGAGACTTCCTTTTATCCGAGCTAGGTCGGCGCAGCCTTCCTAGTCTTGATAGGCTTAGGTCATTGCTAGAGAAAGCCTTTTAAGAAATGTGCTCATTTCCCCTCTAACAGTAAGCCCCCCCCTCCCAGTTCGGCGAGACTGATTGTAAATCAGGTCAGCGGACTTCATGAAGTTAAGCGGGTTTGATCTCGCAATAAGTGTTAGCTCGTCGAGAGTGTTTCTTCAAGATGGCCAGCTCGGCCCGATTTTAAGTGGATTTGACGCGTGGCGCTTTCTTGGAATTAATTATTAAATATTCCAACCTATTTAGGGTTATGCTTTAAGCGGGAAAGGAGAAGGGTTTGCCAGACTGCGAGATTGTGCGAATCTTGACATGAATCCCTTTAAAAAACTGTTGATATTTCCTTTGATTTTATTACTTACTTTTTATTTCTTCGTCTTCTTGCTCCAGAAAATCTTCTTTTTGCTGCGATAATCTTTCTTTCTTACTCGCCGATCTTCCATTTGTTCCTGTAATCCGTCCAGAAATTTCTTATCAGAAAAATGTCGACTTCGTCTCAAAATTCCTCCTTTGACGACGATGAGATTCCTCTTGCCGCGAGGCGGGCCTGGATTAGCCCAGAGCCTTCCTCTTCAAATTCCAGAGAATCCTCGGGTTACCGAGATGAGATTCTGCCGAGTCATCCCGGCATAGATTCTGAGATGGAATCAGATAACTTTGAGCCGGAGGGCTTTGAGCCAGAAAGCAGGATCGAGGGTCTTCCGCAGAAGATCACAATGTTGAAGCATAGGACCGGCATCAAGGATGGAAGGACCTGGATGACTGCGGAAAGACTCCAAGAGCTTTGCTCAAAATGCCGCTTTCCTGAGGGAATCGAGCTTCTACTTCTCCAGGTCCATGAGAGAGTGACAATACCACCGGAGGGCTATTTTTGCATATACAAATGCCACTTCGTGGATTTCGGCCTTCAGTTCCTTATCTCATTATTTCTCCGTTACTGTGAACAGAGGAGGATGCCGGTGGTGCAGCTCTCTCACGCTGTAATTCGCCATTTCAACAGCTTACTGGCGGCCGCTCATATGGCGAAGGTACCTTTTAATTGGGACACTTTCGAGAGGATATCCATTTTGAAGAAAAGGAGGCTAAACCGCGGGGGTGGCGCCATTTTTACACTTCGCTGAAGGAGGGGATTGTTGGTGGAGATCTAACAAGCAAAGTTCATGAATGGGACCGGTTTTTCTTCTATGTGAAGATCAACGAGGCGTCCACTGGCAGCTCCGAGCTTAATTTATTTAGGTCTTGGAGGTCGACGCCATGTAAGACGAACCAATTTTGCCCCCTTTGTTTTGAATTCCTGGGTGTAAATGGCAATAAGTCTCGGGAAGGACCTGTTCGGTTTTGACGTTGACGTTATGAAGATGTGCAAGTCGAGCCGGCAATTGTGGCCTGAGAAGGGGAAGAAGGGGGCCGCCGAGAAGAAAACGAAGCCGGCCAAGCCGGCCGAGAAAAGAGCCAGATCTTCGGGAGCAGGTGCATTAGCAAATCGAAGTGACTTTTAATTATTTTTATTTTTAGAGAGTAGTTCCTTATTTGCATATTTGCTTGATATTTTCAGCCGCCAAGAGGGTTTTGCGGCCGCGATCCGAAGGAGCTGGCCAAAAAAAGAGAAGGGCGGCTTGGGCGGTGAAGCGGATGCGCCTTCGAAGCGAAGGAGGACAACTCCTCGAGATCCACCTATTTTGGTGGATTCTGACGATGCCGAGCTGGCTGTAGAGAATGAGACTCTCGCGAGATAAACCCTTATTCTCCCTTCGTGTTTTGCTTTGTCGTGCCAAGATGACTTTTTGACATTTTGCTTTCTTCTTTTCCTTTTTAAAGTGTCTCCAGGGCAGCGGCGCTGGAAAGGTTGAGGCGGGCTTGGGCCAAAAAAGCTATAAGGGACCCTTAGGGTGAAGCGTTCCAAGGAACTACCTCCCACACGGGAGGCGGGGGTGATGGGGGTCCTTCTGATGCTGCTGCAAACTGACGCGAGGCTGATCCCTTGCCGCCCCGGGCCGACGTTCCTCAGAGTCCTGGGGTCCAGGACATAGAAGATGCGGTCCGGGAAAAGACCGAAGAGCCGGCTATAGCTCATTCTGAGGGGTTTGCTCCTTCACAAGATGCTCAGGACACTGATGGTGCCAGTCTAAGTGCTCCTCCCGAGGTCAAGCAAGAAAAGGAGGTCTTCGACTACAACCCTAATCACTTTAGCATGAAGTCGGATGGAGCTACTCCGGCGATGCTTGATCGCGAATTCGCTGCTAAGCTGATTTGGAAGTGTAGAGAGAACCCGAGATGGGGCAAACCTCTACGAGAGCTGAAGTTGGCAGAGTCGATATCCTCGACAAATCAATTGATAGCTCGGGCATGCACACGCTTTTCCTTATTGTGTTTTTACTGCGTTTTGTCGCACGTTTTTAATAGAAAATTGTGGTACAGGGCTTGGGAAAATACATGTCTGTATTCGCGACATACGACAATGAGTATTGTCAAGAAGAGATAATGTTGGACGTTGTTTGCGCTAAGATCGAGGAGCTCGAAAAGGCCAAAGAAGAGAATCCACTTCTCAAAGAGAGGTGCACTCAGCTTGAGGGCACCGTTGAGGCCTTTGAGGGTGAGGTGGCGGAAGATTCTCGGCTTTGCAAGCAGGTTTTCGCCCTCCGAGCGCAGAATGAGTCTCTTGAGAGGCGAAACGAGGAGAACTTTGCAAAAGTTCCTTGCTGAAAAGAAGAAGCTTCAAGGGTCTTATGACGAGGTCTTGCGAGGTGTCGGCGAAAAGGTCTTTGACGGCATAGTCTCTTGGCGGATCCAGGCATCGCTGGCAAAGATAAGAGGTGGAGGCTGCCCTTGTGGCGTAGAGAAGAGTGGCTCAATGGTGGCGTTCCTGAAGAAGATGCAGGACAAGGGATGGGAACTCTCTTCAGGCACACTTCCATCTTTTGAGAGGGAGTTTGCGAAGTGGCGGGCCACCAGTGATGCTATCGACGAGATAGTTATTACTGGTGAGGACCTTAGCCTCCCGAGCAGATCAGAAATTGACGACCTGCTGAAGTGAGCGTGAAGGGAGCCAAGAAATGATCCACATTGAGCCGTTTGCCTTTCTTTTTTGTTTTTTTTTTTGTATATTTGTTATTTGACTGGCCCTTACGTGGTCCTTTTTGTAATGACTTTACCCAAAAGGGTTTTTATAATGAATTTATGTTTTGTTTTTTGTTTTTTGCAAAAGTAAATTAAAGTATCAGCAAATAATTTTAAAGTTTTTGTTATGTAATTTGAACTTTTTAGTTCAGAGTTGGGAGCGGGATTCCTTTGCCCGTCTTATCCCAAACGAAAATCAAGATCGAATACCAAGCTATCAGGATTCACTTGGTCTGAAAGGTATGATCGAGGGTCGTGCAAATATTATCCTCGGCTTTCGTCTTATCCACTTCGAAAGTAACTAAATCGAACCGAAGTATCAAAGGAGTGGTGATCAGCCACTAATATTTTTAAATTTTTGTTTTTGCTTTTTCGAATCGAATGTTTGGCCAGAACATCGATTCAGCAAGATGCGTTTGCATAAGAAAATACTACTCTACTGCCGAGCTGATTTTTCAAAACAAAAATTTATTAAATTTACAGCTGCACCCGAAGGTTGCCTACGTACTCAAGTCGGGATCAAACCATTTGTAGTTCGATACAATTATTGAATGAGTGTTATCACGCAAGGGCCATGCCGGCCCTTATTGATAAAAATAAAAGCACTTAAACATAAAAACTGTGGAATTCTTTGTCGAATCTACTCCGCTTGTTTAGTTTCTTCAGGGGCTTTTGCCGCGGAGAGTCGCACTTTCCATTCGCTAATAAAGCAGAATCTTGCCATCTGCGGATTGCTGCGAAGCATGAAGATGCCGACCAAGGTAGCAAACTTCATGCATTGGTGGTAAGTCGAGACGTTAGCTTTCATCTCGTGGATCCAAGGTGTGCCAAGTATGACATTGGTGGTTTA